CAGTTGTGTCTGCAGGGGAACAAACAGAGCCGCTCTTACCCCATTCGGTATCTTTAATTAGCACCATCGCTGTCCTGTTTGCTTCAACGGCATCAGCGTCTTCACCCCTTGCACCAACGGTGCTGTGGGGGCTTGCTCAGTGGTCACCACCCAGGGATGGGACAAAGCGATGCCACGGAGCAAGAGGACAAAGCAGATGGTGCTTGGACATCACAAACCAGTCTCAGCCAAAGCAGTTGGGTATTTTAGTAAAAAATAAAGACTAAAAAGCTTTTCAGTAACCTGCAAATTAGGGATTTTTCAGCCACAGCTCCTTCACCAACCACCCCTGACAATCCCAGAATCCCAGAATGTGAGGGGTTGGAAGGGCCCTGGAAAGCTCCCCCAGTGCAACCCCTGCCACAGCAGGATCACCAGAGCAGTCACACAGGAACACGGCCAGGGCTTTGGGTGTCTCCACACAAGGAGACTCCACAACCTCTCTGGGCAGCCTGGGCCATGCTCTGCACCCTCACACTCACAAACTTTGGCCTCATCTTCAGCTTGAACCTCCTGTGCTCCAGCTTGGGACCATTGCCCCTTGTCCTGGCATTGGCCATCCCAGAGCAGAGCCTGGCTCCTTCCTCCTGACACTGCCCTTTCCCAATGGATCCCCATGAATGAGGGCACCCCTCAGACAATGACTGACCCCTCTGGAGCACAAGGGTGTTTTGCAGCTCTTACAACCTTACCACAAAAAACACTTTACTGGTAAGAAGGAACCTTTGGTATTTCAAAAGCGCACAAAGAAAAAGCCCCAAAACGTGGGACATCAGCGCCTCCCCTACCTGATGGTGCTGAGAGCCGCGATGGTCGACGGCAACGAGGAGGTGTCATAGACCCTGCAACACAAAACAGCGTTAATGAAGTGTCCGTGTGTCTGCACCCTGTTCAGATCCTTCCCAGAACAGCCACAGCCACCCCATCTTTTACAGACACAGCCTGTACAGCACAGCCCTCACTTTCAACCTGCACCCCCGGTGTGGCCCTGCTTCAATGACACAATTTAGGGCTTCTGAACACACACAGCGAATACGCAGATGCAGTCAGGTACTGACATGAACCAGTTACCGAAATCATGGCCACAGACCTAGAAAAGAGTAGGAAAACTACATCTCAAGTACAGGACCCACAGCTGCTTGCACTACCAAACAGTCACAAAAAGCTGAGATTGTCACACTCTGAAGTGCTAAAAAAATAAATCCCGTTTCTAAGCATCTTGTATTCGCATCCATCAGCCAGGTTCTGGGCTGGTTTTTGGCTGGGTTGGGGTTTTTTGGTTGGTGGGTTGGGTTTTTTTTTAAAGACTAACAGTACCTGCAGGTTTAGTGTTAAATATTCTTCAGGAAAATGAGAATTAGGAAAAAAAAAATAGAGTCATGCAGCATTACAAGTGCCAGTACGAGTACATCTTCATCACTTTTTTTTTTTAAAGGCAAGGAGAGAAAGCTTTCAATGGCAGTAATGCCATTAATAATAATAATACACGTTAATAACAACAATAGTAGTAACAATAACAATAAAATAATGGAATTCACTATTAATAATGGAAAATAATAATTATTATTATTCAGAATGGATTTCATAAGTGTTAATAATGGAAATAATAAAGAATATAATATGATCCGATATATTATATTCTGATATAATATGATGTAATAATAATATGTGATATACTGTGATATGACATATGATATATTTTGATATATCATGATATAACATATAATAATGATGTAATATGATGTGATTTAATTATAGCGTTATATACCATAATACGATATAGCATTGTATTTTATGATATATTATTATATGAGATAACATGATATATGACATAATATGATGTAATATGATGTGATTATAACATAACATGATATATGATATATAACATAATATAACATAACATGATAGGATATATAACATAACATAACATGATATGATATATAACATGATATATATGATATATAACACATAACATAGCTAACATAACTGTCAGCTGCCGTGCTCACCTCAGCCTGTCGTCAGCGCACACCGTCACCACGCTGCTCCCCGTCACGGGTGAGAAATAGGCAGAGGCGACGCTTTTCGTGTGCCCCTCCAGGGCGCTCACGGCCGTGTTCCTCTTCGCCTTCAGGTACCGCACGTCGAACACGCAGACGTCCCTGCAGCGCAAACCGCACACAGCGCGTCACCCCTGGCACTTCAGTAATCCCTCTTTATCCTCATAAAAACTTGAGACGCCGCAGGTTTTACTGAGCTGCGTTTCGGAGCTTATTTCACTCCTGAAATCGCCAAACCCAGCCCAAAAAGCTCATTAAAACCCCTCTATGCTGCGATCCGACAAAGAGCGGTGACTCACAAAACCACTTTGTACCAAAAAAGCCAAAGCACACCATGTTTCAAACCCCGCTTTGAACTAAAAACCCCTTTTCTAAAATGATGAAGGGAGCTTTGGCTGCAGACGGGCTGACAATCCGCCTGCCCCCCCCCAGGATGGGCCATTTCCCACTGACTGCAGGCAGCCCAACCACCAAAAACCCAGAGTAACTGGTTGGGAGCGACGTACGTGGCGCCGGCAGCCATGAAGTACTGCCTCTTGACGGGGTGGACGTGCACCGTGCGCGTCCTGTGGAAGCCGATGTCTGCAGACAGCTCTGGGGCCGACCCCGGGGTCCGTTTGTCCACCAGGGACACGCTGCCGTCCCAGTGCCCCACCAGCGCGGTGCAGGCGGCAAAACCCAGAGTAACTGGTTGGGAGCGACGTACGTGGCGCCGGCAGCCATGAAGTACTGCCTCTTGACGGGGTGGACGTGCACCGTGCGCGTCCTGTGGAAGCCGATGTCTGCAGACAGCTCTGGGGCCGACCCCGGGGTCCGTTTGTCCACCAGGGACACGCTGCCGTCCCAGTGCCCCACCAGCGCGGTGCAGGCGGCGTCTTCCAGGAAGTCGAAGGAGGACATGCTCTCCTCATCTTTTCTGCATATCTGAGTGAAGGGAAGAGCAGAGGTACCCAAAACGGCCCCACGAGACACGCAGGGGTGTTCACGACACCCAAAACACCCCACGGGCTGCACGCTTCAGGCTTTCCCCTTGCGATGCACTGAAAATACGAGTGACTGGCTAATTTGGTAGGTCCAGCTTTAGCTGTTACCCACAGACCACCTTTCTGCACGGAGATCATTAATTAACCAGCACAGCAGACCAACATTAATGTACTCCAAATTGCAGAGCTCCTACAAGGCGCTGGCACCCCCGCATCCCTCTTACCCGTGAGTGCACAGATTAATGCCTGTGTCCCTTCCTCCAGTGCTACAGAAACATTTAATCAGGTGCAGAGATGCAAATTTGGCTTCCTGGGAATGGAAACGTGTGGCATTTCTCTTCCCCGGGCCCCTAAAGATGCATTTTTCCAAGCATTTGTCCCAAAAAGCGAGCCCCCCGGGGGACCTCTTAACCAACAGTGGGCAATCAGCTGCTCTGCTTGCAACCCCACCAAAACTACGGTGCCTGGAAGGGCTGGGGAATGAAAAAGGCTTCAAAGAGTTGTCGCTTGTTGTGTTTTCAGTGCTGGAGAGCTGAGCAACGCAGGCGTCCGTGTCAAAACCAGGCAGACACAGCAAGCAGCACGCAGCTCCTCCTGGCACACCACAGAGACGGCCGCAGCGCTGCGCTCGCTCGAAGGCCGAACAAAAGCGGGCAGAAACGCTTCGTGTTGTTTTACAGTGTTTACCTGGGCGTCTGGGGTTTTTTTTGGGTAAGATTTAGCTCTTTAAATCGCTCTTGTCACCGCTAAAAGGTGCTGCTTTCAGCGGGGCACACACTGTTACAGTACAGAGACCTGAAATTTAATTCAGTAACTGCAGCTGCAGGAAGGACATTGGGACTACCCGAGCTATTTTATTGACTAGGAAGCACCTCTACGTGTTTATGATGTTAATTAAAGGTCGTTTCATGTGTCCTCATGGAAATAGGAGCTTGAGCTTTCTGGTTAACTCAACAGCCAAAAGCAGCAGCGTGGGTAGGAGGAGACCAAAGGGCTTTGCATGGTGCCCCGGGAGCGCTCACCTCATCGAAGACGGCCCTGGTGACGTCCCCGCAGCGCAGGCTGTCGTAGCTCAGCGACACCAAGTGCGCGGGGTTGGAGGCACAGAAGTGCATGCAGCTGACCGAGCGGCTGTGAGCGACGAGGACGCGTGCGGCTCCCGCAGACCTGCAGCCCTGGAAAACAACGGGGACATGGGGGCTGTGTCCTCTCATCACTGCAGTTATTTCTGTTGATTACTGCAGCTTTCACGGGGCAGTCTGTGTGTTTTAAACGTTCTCAGTCTGCTCTGGGGACCGGCAAGGAGGCAGCAGGGTGCTTGGTGTGTGGACACCAGCGCAGGTAATCACAGAATCACAGACTGTGAGTGAGAAGGGCCCTGGAAAGCTCCCCCAG